ATTATTCAAGAAAAATACATCCTACACAAGATCCAAAGTTCAATCCTTCATTGTTCATGAGCCTTTTTCATTGAAAACATCAAAGCAATCAAATCAAACACTGAATTGGTTTCTTCGCTTGGATCTGCTGCAAGATTGTGTCGTCAATTATGCTGCATTAAAAATCAAGGAAGAATTTGAAGAACAAGGAGTTCTTGAGGAAAATCTACAGGAGATAAACTGTGTAAAGAGTTAGGATTAAAGTTCGTGTGCTCATTCCAGGAGGACTGTTTTACAAAGAAGAGCTAGGATTGGTGTTGGTGTGCACATTCCATGAGGGCTGCTTCATACTTCGGGCAGGAGATCAGAAAGCTTGTATTGTCAACTTTGCAGGTAGTCTGTAAGTTTTATTAACAGTTTATAGTGGATCTTTGATTGACAAAATGTATGGAGTTTTCACAAGTTGGGTTTCTCCGCGAACAATTCTGGTGTTGTTTACTGCTTTATTTACTGCTTTGGGATTACTGCGGTATTTCAAGATAGATTAAATTGAATTGTTTGACTAATCACCTAGACATAATTAACTTGTAACTTGTTGCATGTTAATTGAATTTTAATTCTGTATTTACACCTAATCACTCCCTCTAAGTGTAGTAGGGTCAAATCTGACGTTTCTCAAATATTATTGATTATATAAGTCAAATTAAACTATATTATAATTATATTACAATTACAATTTTTTTTCTCTGAAAACTTGAAAAGAATGATTTTTGACCTGCTCAATCATATGTCCATCCCCACGTGCATTTGAGATGGTCTTGCTCAATCATACTTGAAAAGAAGGACTAGGTACTACTCTTGTGCAAATGTAGAGGGTGTTTGGTGTAAATTAAAATTAAATTTTTAGTAGATTGTGATAGAAGTTTTTGAAATGTGTGATTAAAAAGTTGTGGACCCATAAAAGATATAATTAATATTTATTATTTGACTTTGAATTGAATTAAAATTATATTTTAATTCGGACCAAAAAAGTGCCTATTAAACCAAAGCAAGAACTTTGTTGAGATGGGTGAAACCAAAAGCTCTCAATCCTAGGAACCTCGAACTCAGCCTCGTTTACTTGAAAAGACTTCGTTATTACCACTTGAACTAAACATTGACCACTCACTCTATATATAGACACATGTATACAAAACATTACACTTATCACTCTCTCTCTCTCTGGTGTGCTAGCAAGTGATCACCATGAAAATTTCCTCCATTTTCCTTTCCTCGCTTCTTCTCATATTTCCCTGCTTTATTTCCTCTCAAACCTGTAAAAACTACTGTGGCAAAATCCCAATAAAGTATCCGTTTGGTACTGGCCCTGGATGTGGTGATCCACACTTCCAGCCTTATGTAACTTGTAATGATCAGCAGCAGCTCACATTCGCCACACACACTGGTTGCTACACCATCACCTCCATTGATTACAATCACCAAATCATCTACATGGCTGATCCATCCATGTCCACCTGTGCCTGCAAACAGCCTAGCAAAGGCTTTAGCCTTGACTGGAACGCGCCTTTCAGCTTCAGCGACGACACTATTTTTGCGCTTCTTGATTGCTCGACTAGTTCTTCGCCTATATACAAGTCCAGTACTGACGACAAAAATTCAACTTTCCCTCTTTGTGATTCAAAGGGGGATTCTATTTGCAGTCTTCTGTATTCTTGTGAAGCAATCAGCAGGCTAAGTTTCCCAATATCGACGTGCTGTGTGTATACACCCGTGGATCTTGGCCCTTCGTTTCAAATGGATTTGCAGAAACTGCAGTGCACTTCATATTCTGCAATTTATGGTTTCAATGGCCAGGAATCTAATCCACAGGGGTGGCAATATGGGGTGGCATTGAAATATAAGTTTAATTTTGATAATGATTATCCTGTGATTTGCTCTAGTTGTGAAAAGACTAATGGAGTCTGTGGATATAATAATGGACAGTCATTTCTTTGCAATTGTCCTGGTGGATTGAATACAACGGAAGATTGTTTCTATGGGGATTCTTGGAGCCATGGTTCAAAAATTTCCCCATGGGAAACAGGTAACATGTACCTCATCTGAAAAATTTAGAGGGGCGCGGATTTTTATTTATTTAAATTTACTCATCATCACACCCCTTCCCTACATGTCGAATTCATTTTTTTAATCAAAGGCCTAACACGAGTGCAAGTTCGAATGTATGACAATTTACATTCAGATCACCTTATCTAAAAGTTTAAACTCTAACAGAGACAACAAATTTGTTTATATAAATTTAGTATTTCTACCGGACGAATTTATTTATTTTATTAAAGACCTCACATTTGAACGAATTTTATAAATGACTCGCAACAAAACTTAACTCAAGACGTCTACCTTTGAATCACTTCATGTAAAAAAAGAGGTGACAATTTACTATTTAGTATTCAATAATTATATTCTAAATTATTTTGTTCTTGCAGGGACTATGTCGATTTTCTCATTCACATGGTTCATCATTTTGGCCTTTATGCAAGTCTGAAAAAGATGATTGGATGAAATGAATTTCAGCAGTGTGACAAGTTTCTGCATTGTAATGGAATCCCCTGATTGTTTTCAGATTGTGAATATTTATTTTCCAATAATGTCAAAAAAGAAAAAAAATAAAAAGTAAAATTGATGGCAATTGCAAAGACTGCAATTTGTTCGTTTTCTATTTCGTCTATCTTTTTTTTTTTTCAAATTTGCAAGGAAGAAGAAGAAGAAGAACTACTTCAATCTATTAATTATTTGTTATTACATGATACGTCAAGTTTGTTGTGCAACACTTGAAACAATTGGATAGTATTGTAGACACGATTTTAACTACTTTTTTTCGATTAATATTAGACAAAAATATATTTATGTTCCACCTCACCATACTAACCATATAAAAGATTATGATACTTGACATTGACAATATGCAACATATTTTCCTCATTGAATACTAATAAGTATGGATTGATCCCGATACGGTTCTTGGACTACTTTTATTTTCGAAGGAGGAGTTTGAAACTCGTGAAACAATTATTCGAATAAAAATCTACGATTCTTGCCCCCCCCAATACGTCACATTTTTTAAAATTCAAATACAATGTTCTTAATGGACTTGACTCATTAAATCACATATAGAATTACAATCTAAGCCAGCTTATTTACTTACGATCTAAGGTGGTGTACGTGAGACTTGGAACAAAGAATCTTTAATACCTTTTAACTACCTCGTAAAAAATTTAATATTTATAGAAATGAAGAACATCGAGAATGATCTATGTCTACTTTATTACCGTTTTCAACAACATCACAAAAACTTAATATTTTAATAAAAATAATTATTTATTTAAATTAAATCATAAAAAAAAAAAATTATAGCGATTAAATTCATGTGGGCATAAATGTGTGATACAGCTTGGAAAAGTAACACTTTGAGGAATCAGTTGCATAAAGAATTGGATACTGTCCTTCTTCCTAGCAGAATAGGGTTCCTTATTTAAAGCAGCTCCACAAAAAGAGAACCATTTTGTTCTCTTTATCCCAAATTCCATTGCAAGATTAAGAGATCAAAAAATATAAAGTTCAATTCCCACTATGTGTTGATCTGTTATCATTTGCATCCCCACTTCACTGGCAGGCTATTTCCCATTACAGAAAATGTGTAACTTTTAAGATTTTTTGTATAAGAAATGAGAAAGAATACACTTTGGTGAGTAGGCTAATGATGAAACAATATACAATAACCATAACTAAATTCTTCAAAATGCACCATCTTATGTCATAATTGGTTGTAAGCCCTTTCCGCCAGACTCTTTGGTCTTAAGTACGCTGGTTTTAAGAATGAGTGATTGTCCTTCTCCGACTCTTACTGTCCAACCTGAGAATAGATGCGTTCCACTTATTGAACAGGGTTTTATGGTCGGTCCGTGACCCCTGGATGCCAAAGGCGCCCTTGGGGTGATCAATAATACTCTGCTTCAGTGAATATAAGTAAATTTTTAACTTCAACTGCGAAAATTATTTGTTTTAAAGCTTACCTATTTACTTATAAGTAATTTTTAAGCTTCGCTCAACATGCTCGAGTTAGTGGGCTGGAATGGTCCAATTGTTGAAGAAAAAGAGACTGCATCAAGCTATTACTTTAGAAGGGTCCACCAGGCTGTCCAATAACAACCTTACATGCATTCTTCAGAGGCCCAGTAGACACCACCATCTCTATAAGATTGGGTCCAGTGGTTCATGACTAACTAGAAGGGAAAATTACATACATAGATAATGTGTTTAAACTTTAAAGTGCAAAAATCAGATGTGAAGATTTTTTAATCAAAATTCAGGTGATTACATATTATACCACCCAAACCCTAATTTTATTTCATTTCTCACCCTTCCTCTTCTCCCTCTTCATTTCTCTCACTTCTATACCCATCCAAACCCTAAAATTAATTCCCAAACCACATCTCCATTCTCTCCATCGTCACCACCATCTCTCTACTGTCAACCCGTCGTCGCCGTCGTCGTCGCTGCAGCAACCGCCGTCTCTCTATTTTTTATGGTGTTTTCCATGAAAACCATCGACTAGGTGAGGCGAGATGGCCAATTGGTGAACGCGACCCCGTGCGGCTTAATAGTCAGGATGATCAGATCTGAGTGCTATGCTAGTGTTGTCATTCACGGTAGTGGCGCCTGGTCTTGAGACGTAGTGTTGGCTGTTGTTCCAGGCTGGTGGTTGTATTCGGTGTTGGTTGATGGCTATTGTGTTTGGTGTTGATGGAAGTGAAACTGTGGTGGTGGTAGGGTTGTGGTGTGGTGGTGGCAGATCTGACAGGGTATGTTGGATCTGATGGTGATGGAGGCGATGGTTGGCTTGGGCACGGTGTTGTGTACGGTCAAGGTGTTTGATCTTGATTGGAGGTAGAAGTGGGGTGTTGGTTAATTTGTGACCAACAATTTTGTTATCTGTGATCTAAAAATTATATAATTTGTGATCGTGAAAGAATCCGTGATCAACTAATTTGAAATTATGTGACTGTGTGACCTATAAATTTTGAAATCTGTGATCGAAGATTTTAATTGTGACCTACAATTTTTTTTATATGCGACCATTAAAAAATCTGTGACCAACTAATTCGAAAATCTGTGACCTGCTAATAAACTGTAACCGAAAATTAATTTTTAACTAATTAATATTAATTAATTAATTAATAAATACCTGATTTTTGCAAGTTTAAAACTTAACACCTGATTTTTGCAATTGTCAAAGTTAATACCTGATTTGTGAGCTCTTCCTTAAGTAGAATCCAACCATTAAGTCTTATTATTTAAAAAAACCCATATATTCTAAAAATATTCAAGAATAAGAGGAAAATAATTAAATTAAATTAATTTAAATCTAAAGATCATAAATTTAGCCTTAAACTCATTATTATATGGATAAACTTAGAAATTGAAGAACATTTGGACAACTTTAACTTTTCAATGAAATTCGTATTCCATAAAACCCACCATTGTTGAATAGTTGAGGTTATTGAGAAAGAATCACATTTACGAGACCGCCAATAGAGAAATGAAGAAAATAAAGAACTTATGTTTGTACGTTGAAAATTGTTTTTGACCTTGAAGTAGTCTCTTTACTAGATGAACCGAAAACATCAGGGCCCAGTTTTTTTTTCCCCACATTATTATAAGACGAAATTACAGCTGCCCCTGGTTTTAGATTACCGTTTTTACAAATCAGACAAGAAGTTTAATTTTTCAAGATTCAAGTTTTGATTAAAAGAATTTAATATTAATAATTAATTTCAAAATCATTTTTCAGTTATCATCGTTTCTCTCTCCTACCCTCATTCCCTCGCCGTTTTCTCTCTCCCTCTCTGCCCTCAGTGTGTCTCTCCTATCAGTCGCTGTCTTCAACCTTCTCCTCGCCGGCGGACGGTGGCGCTCGAAGCGATGGACGGTGGCACTCGAAGCGGTGGACGCTCGAAGCGGTGGACGGTGGCACTCGAAGCGGCGGACGGTATTTCTCTAGGGTTTCTCAGATCCGCCGTCGCCGTCTCCTCTCTCCCCTCTTTTCCTTCTACATTTTCCTCGCCGGCGACTCTGGCGTTCGAAGCGGCTGACGGTGGCCCTCGAAGATCCAGTCAAGTATTTCCCCACGGTTTCTCAGATCCGCTCATCCGCCGTCGTCGTCTCCTCTCCCCTCCTCTTTTCACAGCGTCTAGACCCTGCTATGGGTGTGCGGGTCTGTGGTTGGGTGTGTCGTTGCTGCCATTCCTGTGGGTGTGTGGCTCGGTGTGTGTGTGTGTGTGTGAATCGGAGAGGCGGCTGATCTGTGGGTGTGTGGCGCGTTGGTGGGTATGGCTGTAAACTTTAAATCTGATTTTTAAAATAGAAAGTTAAAAAATCTGGTTTTATATAATTTTCACTAATTATAATCCTGAAGCGGCAAAAACGAGGGCAAAAAAAAAAGAAGAAGAAAGCCAAGCGAAATGTACTTCCGCGTAAAATTTAATAGGGTAATTATATTACCACCACAAAATGTTATATCCATGCAACATTATATCCACTCCACAATTAAAACATAATTTTAATTAATACGCCACAACAAAATTTATAATTATACACCTAAATGTAATAAAAATGAAAACGAGGAGTAAACATATTTTTAATTAGTACAGCACAAATAAACTTCTTTTTCTTTACCAATCTTTCTTCCGGTTGAGCCCTTTTGCTTGTCTTCGGAGCTGCTTCGACCATCGGACTGCATGCTCTATGTTCGCTAGGAATTTCTTGAGCACTGCCCCAAGAAGAGGAAGAGGAAGAGGGTGCGCCTGGTAAACATCCAACGCTTTTTCCATCATTTCCTTCACATCACTAGTTGTAGGATTATTGATCGCTATAACTATTTGAATCTGGTTATGAAGTTGCTTAAATAACCTAGCTCCATTCCTTTATGGATGGTAACAGAGCAGGTATGGGACAGATCGATCATTCTCATCCTATCTGGGGCATTTTTGTTATCTTACTTCGTCTCTATACTCAGTTAAAGCGAAACGGGGCAAGATCGGGGCAGGCAGGTCCCCTGCCCCATTTATCTCCTCGTTTATTATTTCTTTATCTTTAGTTAATAAATATTATTGCTCTTTTTTCCAATTGGTTAAGAACAACATGTGTTCTCTTAAAAAATGATAATAAATCTTTTATTTTTGTTTGATAAAAAATTTAAATGTGAAGTTAAGTTTAAATGGGCGGGTTTTCCGGGCGGGCTTAGGGGCAATGACCCATGTCCTGTTCGCACCCCATTTATCCAGTTAGGCAGGAAACGGTACCCATTGAGTATCGGGTTGAACGAGTTTTTGTGCCATCCCTATTCCTTTGTTCCTCACCAAGTTGAGATGGCTAAATCTTGTTCATATGGACAACATCCTAGTTACTGGATATAAAACCACGAGTTCACGGAACAATTTGATCCTTTACCAATTCCAAATGGGTAAGAAACTTCTATATTTTCAC